TTTTTAAGTACAGGCCAATGCCGCTGGCCAAAGGCAGGGAGGGATTAAGAAGATTCCCTACATTTTTCTTACACACCTTCCCACTGCAATCCGTTGTGTCACTAGTAACAGTGGGCACGTGCTCCTTTCATATTTAGAACAAGTCAAGAAAAAAGAAATTAACCTCGGCAAATGCCCAGTAAAGAGCTGCCTGTATCTCACCTTCTCTTACTCCGTACTAAGTGTGAAATAAAATCCTTGGAAAGCCCTGAGCCCGGTGCCTGGGTAATGGCGGTAGCTTTCATAAGGCTACATAAGGCACATGAGTCATAAGGCACGAGTCACTGCACCTGCACCCGCACCCCCACCCCCGCCACAGCCAAGTGGGGGTGAAGCTGAGATTCGAACCCAGGTCTGCTGCTTCAAGTCTCACCTTTCACGGGCCGTGGCTGCAAATCTCACAGTCCTGGCAAGGCAGGGGGCCCTCCTGGGTTCCGCTGAGTTCCTGCAAACCCAGGGACGTCCCGCCCCGCCCCCAAGCCCCCACGCCCGACGGGACACCCGCACACCTCCCCAGCCCCGCGGAGCTCACCATGGGTTGTGGTCAATCCCGTCCAGCCTGCGAGCTTGCACCCTCTTGGCCATGGTGAGCTGAAGACAGAACGAGCAGAAGAAAGTCAGAGTGGCGGATGTGCAGATCTTTTCTGCCCACAGTCCCCGCCCCTCTGGGGGGCAGATGCAGATCCTTACTCCCCAATAGCAGGATGGGCTCCAGCCAACCCTCCACCTGGCTCCGCCCCATCCCAACAGCCTCACTGGCCCAACCTGCCCGTCTGGACTCCTCGTGCTCTGAAATGGACCAGATTCAGACCAGATTCAGGCCGACTGAGGAGGAGAGGCAAGAGGAAGGGGGAAGAGGGCAGGAGAAGCACAAAGGTAAAGGTGACAGCAGCAGGTTCCCTTACAGAGGTCTGGCTAAACTCAGAACAATCTTGCTGGGCTCGTTGTATAGATGAGAAAATCACATTAAAAAAAAT